TACAGACCAGTCAGTCTTAACTCTGTGCCTGGCAAAATCTTGGAGCAGATTCTCTTGGAAGCCATGCTAAGGCACATGAAAATCAACAAGGTGCTTGGTGACAGCCAGCATGGCTTCACTAAGGGGAAATCCTGCCTGACCAATCTGGTGGCCTTCTATGGTGGGGCTACGGAACTGATGGACAGGGGTAGAGCAGTTGATGTCATCTACCTGGATTTGTGTAAAGCGTTCAACACTGTCCCACACGATATCCTTGTCTCTAAATTGGAGAGACATCAATCTGATCGATGGAACACTCAGTGGATAAAGAACTGACTGGATGGCCACACGCAAAGAGTTGTGATCAGTGGCTCAATGTCCGGCTGAAGACCAGGAACGAGTGGTGTCCCTCAGGGATCAGTGTTGGGACCGGTCTTGTTCAACATCTTCGTCGCTGACATGGACAGTGGGATTGAGTGTGCCCTCAGCAAGTTTGCCAATGACACCAAGCTGTGTGGTTCGGTTGATACGCTGGAGGGAAGGAATGCCATCCAGAGGGACCTTGCCTTGCTTGTGAGGTGGGCTGATGCCAACCTAATGAAGTTTCACCATGTCAAGTGCAAGGTCCTACACCTGGGTCGGAGCAATCCCAGACACAGCTACAGGTTGGGCAGAGAAGAGATTCAGAGCAGTTCTGTGGAGAAGAACCTGGGGGTGCTGGTCGATGAGAAAATGAACATGAGCCGGCTTCAGTGTGCACTTGAAGCCCAGAAAGCCACCTGTATCCTGGGCTGCATCAAAAGAAGAGTGACCAGCAGGTCAAAGGAGGTGATCCTGCCCCTCTACCTTGTCCTCGTGAGAGAGACCTCACTTGGAGTATTGTGTGCAATTCTGGTGTCCTCAACATAAAAAGGACATGGAACTGTTGGAACAAGTCCAGAGAAGGGCCACGAGGATGATCAGGGGACTGGAGCACCTCCTGTATGAAGACAGGCTGAGAAAGTTGGGGCTGTTCAGCCTGGAGAAGAGAAGGCTGCGTGGAGACCTCATAGCAGCCTTCCAGTATCTGAAGGGGGCCTATAAGGATGTTGAGGAGGAACTCTTCATTAGGGGCTGTAGTGATAGGACAAGGGGTAACGGCTTAAAACTTAAAACAGGGGAAGTTTAGATTGGATATAAGGAGGAAATTCTTTCCTGTTAGGGCGGTGAGGCACTGGAACAGGTTGCCCAGGGAGGTTGTGAATGCTTCATCACTAGCGGTGTTAAGGCTAGGCTGGACAGAGCCTTGGGTGACATCATTTAGTGTGAAGTGTCCCTGCCCATGGCAGGGGGGTTGAAACTAATATGATTTTAAGGTCCTTTCCAACCCTAACTATTCTATGATTCTATGAATCTAAACATGAGCCAGCAGTGTGTGCTCACAGCCCAGAAAGCCAACCGTATCCTGGGTTGTATCAAAAGGAGTGTGACCAGCAGGTCAAAGGAAGTGATCCTGTTCCACCAGTCTGCTCTCCTGGGATCACACTTGCAGTATTGTGTATAGTTCTGGTGTCCCTAACTTAACAAGGGCATGGAGCTGTTGGAGCAAGTCCAGAGGAGAGCCACAAGGATGATAAGGGACTGGAGCACCTCCCATATGAAGTCAGGCTAAGAAAATTGGGGCTGCTCAGCCTGGAGAAGAGAAGGCTGCGTGGAGACCTCATAGCAGCCTTCCAGTATCTGAAGGGGGCCAACAAGGGTGCTGGAGAGTGACTCTTCATCAAGGGCTGTATCAGTAGGATAAGGGGGAACAGGGTTAAACTTACACAGGGGAAGTTTAGATTGGATATAAGGAGGAAGTTCTTTACTGTGAGGGTGGTGAGGCACTGAAAGAGGTTGCACTAAGTGGTAAATGCTCCATTCCTGGTGGTGTTCAAGGCCAGGCTGGACAGAGCATTGGGTGACTGGATCTAGTGTGAGGCGTTCCTGCCCATGGCAAGAGGGTTGGAACTAGATTTATGGTCCTTTCCAACCCTAACCATTCTATGATTCATTAACTAACCTCAAATTCCTTTTATTCCCTTCATGTCATAAAGGTAAGCAACATTAACAAAAGTAGCTATGGTTACAGCCACAAATACAGTCATATGAGGATACCTGATTATGATCCAAGTCAGTCCTAAAGTCAACTAATTCATGTATTTTTAGCTACTCCCTCTGCTGAAATAGTGCACTTGCTAATACATTAGTGCTCTCTCTCAACAAAATGTCATCAAACCACTACCACAAAAGATATTGCTCATACACGGAGTTATTCAGCAGAGGTAAATGCTATCAGTCAGGAACAGCCTCTTCCTAGACAGTTTGCAAAAGTGGAGTTGCTTCCACAGGTATATAAATGATAATATTCTGAAAGTTGTACAAGACAAACAGTAAAGTCCATTTGCTGCCCTAAAGTGCTTTCTGCATTAGATTAGCAATTGTGGGGCAGCTGTGAAGCGGTGTCTGGTTAGGCAACACAAGCAGAAGACTGCTACCTTCCAGAACAAAATCACACCCCACCATCTAGTTCCACCAAAAACCTATGGTGGCACTGAAAACCTTTATACAAATGTAGGAACACAAAGGAAAAATTACATAAGCTAACTGTGGGGTTTTACTTGACTATTACTCTCTTGAAATTTGGCCTCCCTCTTTTCAGCCTAACACAGAGCTGAAAGGCTGTTGCAATAACTGCAGATTATCTAAAGATAAATCAGTTATTGTCTAGTTTCAATTAAAAATGCTGAAATAAAATTAAAAAAAATGAGGACAGGACACAATATCATGATCTACTGCCATTTACTGGCATCTGTCTGTCACCTTATGCACATATTTATAGGCTGGGAAGGCAGAATAAACGTATGTATTAGAGGATACAGTCAAGTATACACACTTCAATTAACTGGGAAATTGACCTGCCACGATCCCATGACCCAAAATAATACAGCTTTTACAAACAACTGAAAAGAACGGCATTTTTTATAAAAATTGTTTTCAAAATGGACAGTAAACTTCTAAGAAAACCTTTAGCTACATTAACCCAATACTGTGATTAAAGAGAAATGAAATAGATTTCTACTGTGTGAGAGAAGTTATTGTCTGAAAGGCACAGATCTTCAATGGCTCAGAAAAAGTAATGTGGAACAATTTTTCCATCGGAAAAGAGAAGTCAGTGCTTCTTTCATAAGAATAAGAGGAATTTGGAAGCAAAGTTATTAATCAGCATCTCGTTAAAACACGTGAATTCAGAAAACTGAATAGCAAAGATATTAGACTTTCTGACGTTAATTTGATATATCCATGAAGATAAGGACTTCTGAGTTTATTAACAGCAACTGTTCACTGTTACAAATTACCTATGATATTTTTTGTTTTTCAATGTATTTAACAATGAATTACAAGCCAGAATGAAAGTTAATAAAAACCTGAAAAATATTTTTAAAGCTGTGGTAGGGCAATTTTGTTCACTTACTTGAAATACTAAACTAACGCTCTGAAAATAATGAAATACCTGAAAAAGACAGTATCTACTTCCAGGAAAACTGTCTTATGGATTGTCATCAGAAAGGCATATTCTCCTCCCTATCCAAAGCAATTCAATCTATGAAGTCATAAACCTTTTCTTACTACCAGCAACATAGCTGATGCATTGAGAAAACGTGTAGGGATTTAGAACTACATCAACAGGAGAGTTGAGAAATAAAGCAACTCTTCCATCAGCCAAAATGGAGACGTGTCAGCTGGAGTCAACTTCCAACTAAATACAACTTTTAACTGATGAATAAAAAACTGTACATGATCTTGCAGCCCAGAAAGCCTGGGCTGCATCAGAAGAAGCAGGACCAGCAGGTCAAGGGAAGTCATTCTGCTCTGGTTAGACTCAACACAGGAAAGACATGGACCTGCTGGAGATGGTCCAAAGGAGGGCCACAGAAATGACCACAGGGATGGAACACTCTCCTCTGAAGAAAGACTGAGAGAGTTGGAGTTGTTCAGCCTGGAGAAGAAAAGGCTCTGAGAAGACCCTACTGTAGTTAAAAGGCTTTCCAGTACTTAAAGGGTGCTTATAAGAAAGGTGGGTACAGACATTTTATCAGGGCCTACTGCAACAGGACAAGAGGTATTTAACTAAAAGAGGGTATACTCAGACTAGATGAGGGTGGTGAAACACTGGAAAAGGTTGCCCAGAGAGGCACTAGATGCCCCATCCCTGGAAATATTCAATGTGAGGTTGGACAGGTCTCTGAGCAACATAACCTAGTTGAAGATGTCCCTGCTTGTTGCAGGGGTTTGGACAGTATGTCCCTTCTAATCCAAATGATCCTATGATTTTATGATTTGCCCCAAGGCAAAATAAGAATATTTTTTAAAACACTGTGAATACAGAAGTTTCACACCAGGCTTTAACTGTGACTATCAGGAAAAAAAGAAAAAAAAATATTTTGCTCAGAAAATATGTAACTCATATCAGACAAGGAACAGCACAAACAACATACTTCAACATTGCAATTGTTCCTTACTAAAAAGAATGTAATTGTACCACTGAACAGGCCATTTTTGATGTTGGAGATAGTGAATTTGAAAACATATTGAAAACATACTCATATTTCACATATTGAAAACAAGTGATTTCACTGCTCTCACAGATTGTACCGAAGTTCCTTCCATTCTTAGTGCTGAAAGTTTATCACAGAATCATAGAACAGTTAGGGTTGGAAAGGACCTTAAGATCATCTAGTTCCAACCCCTCCTCTAATAACTAATTCCCAAGGCATCTTGCAATAGGAAGCATTCATGAATGAATGCATCAATAACTGTTTCCTATTGCAGGGCTCACTGGGAATGCTTTATAATATTTGTTAGGAGTTTGCAGACTCTTAGTCACATAAAAAAAAAAAAAAAAAAACGTTTTTTTTAACATATTTTGCTGTCCCTTTTCAAAATACCACAACAGACAACACAAGCACGAAACAGTCAATGACCTTGCTGTATGTACTTACCATGTACCACATGCTTGGCCACTTGGGATCATTGAAATAAGTGGATTGGGTACCACCAGGTTTATAATCCCTCTTTATCCTTCTTTTAACCACTTGCTGTTGTATCCACTCCACCTGCCAACCATGAAAACATATGGAAAGTGTTAGGGTTCCATGGAGATTATCATGAAATGTGTGAAATCTTGGAAAGTTTCCCATTACCATAGTCCAAGGCATATTTCATGTTAAAGAGTTCATTTTGGCAGTGGGAATGCACAGCTCACCTTGGCATACTGCTCACGAACGAATAAATCCAATTTACTTAAATGTTACAAATACCCTTGAACAGCTACTTACATCCCCTGCTTAGAAAGACTTCATTGCCTATCATCTTTTGAAAGCAATTACATAAATATTTTTTATTATTAGACCAGTGCTTCTTTTGAATTTATAAAACCAGTTGCTTTTAAAAAATACAACAGTATATTACTATGATAAATTAATTTGTGATGCAGTGGTTTCTTTTTATTTCAGTTTTTTTTTTTTTTGTTAAGTCTGTTCCTGAAAACAAAAACCCTCAGAAAAATATTCATTTTGCTTAACAATAACATCTAAATCACCTTCAACACGTGGAGTAAAAGAACCCAAAATTAAACAGTGTTTTTAACAAAGTGACTCTGTACAAAGATTCTCCCACCCAGGAACACCTGGAACTTTTTTTTATACTAAGTACTTCCCTGGAACATACAGCTGGGTACTGAACAACAAACAGGTCAAATTAAATCAACAGCAATAATAAAAAGGAAGCTTGAAATGGAAAAAGAAATATAAGTCTAAAAAATATAATTCTGAAAGTTATATTCTTGTCTGTCTGACATTTCTTCAAAGATTCATGACACATCCAGAAAGGATGACCAAAAGTGCCATCAACCTTAAAGCAGACAGGACTCTGCAGTTATTCCTGAATTAGTTGTTCTAAATGGGAGCTAGTTTCCATAAATGTAAATAATATAAGCTATCCACAGAGAAACTCAAGTTATATTTACACACATCTAGCTTCCTGACAGCTCATATTTCTCCTGAATTGTTTCAAGGGATGTAACTATAAAAATTCAATTCACCTCTCTCCAAGCAAGACAGCCATCTATCTCCTACTAGCAGCCAACTCTGCACCTTTTATTTGTGCTGTTTATGAATATTTGTGTATGCACACAAACATACAAATATATAAAAGAAGTTTACTTTCAACTCACGTATAGAAATTTTGCTTGAGATCCATACCAAGCCTACCTCTACCATAGCACTCTGGGCTCTACTTCTTGGTCAGATAAAAATACAGGAAGATATGCTGAATTCTCCATGACAGGATTCTTAGGACATTCCTTATAGAGGCTGGCAACAAGGCTTCACAGTTTTCTTTATAAAGAAAAAATGAGTTTTTCCCCTTCCCAAGAATTAACTTCAGGTCAAGATCAGAGACCCTGGGCATCTAATTTGGCATTAGGGACTGCTGTACCTCAAGGCTCCTATATGAACTACCAATAATAGAATAATTGTGAGAAGTTTTTGAAACTTCTTTTGCAAAGGGAGCCAGAGAGTGCAAAATATTCAAAGAGCCTGTGCAACACATAAGTTTAAGCAGAACAACCTAATACCATATCTATACGGAGAAATGAAAGGGACTTTCCTCACACATTGCAAAACTCTTTACTAATCACTGTGAAAACATGTCTCCGTTTATTTACTGCCTATTCAGCTGCAAGTATCTGCTGACTGCTAAAAAGACTGAAACATACAGGCAGCATAGTATTTGTGGAGACTGATATATACATACATTGATGCCTCAAAAAACATTCAATTAATTCCTTTTCTCTGTTTCCTTTATTCCAGACAACTTTATCAATAATACTTATCAGACAGTTTAGTCCAAGCAATCACAAACACTGTGTCACTGCATAATACCAGTTTATTTGAACAATAATTTGACACAGAAGAATTTTGTATATATGTGGGTTTTTATGTTCATGCATATATCTGTACAAGAGCTTGTCCCAGCTGAGTTAATCTATAAACCTGTACTATAGTAGGTGGTTAGATTTAAGTGAAATATGGATGATTTTTTTTTTTTATCTTATCTAACACCTTTGTGACTATAGTTCAGATTATGTACATGTTGCAAGGCCTGCCCCTCTTACATGCTGGATGTTGTCCATAATTCCTATTTCTTCAGCTCCTAGCAAATTAAGGAAAACATATGAAACAGTAATTTTGCAGAAGAGCTGTGCAGCTTGCACAATCAACCCAAAGTCAGAAAAGAAAACGTAACTTCTTGTCTTCCCGTAAGACCCAATGACAATTTTATGTATGCATAAAATTACTATAATTAAGATAGCCATTTGATTTTATACAAATACAGAGGGGGATAAATAGCATGTCTGCCTGAGTATGCGTATAGTTCTCTAATGCAGATAGCTCTCTAATGATGGAACCGAACAGGACAGAATAATTCCCGTTGGAAGAGACCTACAACTGTCATCTAGTCCAACTGCCTGGCCACACCAGGGCTCACAAAAAGTTAGCCTATTATTGAGGGCATTGTCCAAATACCTCTTAAAACAGTGACAGGCTTGGGGCATCAACCACCTCTATAGGAAGCTTGCTCCAGTGTTTGACCTCCCTCTCAGTAAAGAAATGCTTCCCAATGTCCAGTCTGAACCTCCCATGGTGGTTTGAGCCATTCCCACACATCCTGTTGCTGAAGAGATGAGCACCCCCTCTCCACTTCCCCTCCTCAGGAAGCTGCAGAGAGCAATGAGCTCACCCCTCTGCCTCCTTTCGTCCAAAACAGACAAAGCTGATGTAAAATACTAGGACTCACTTTGAGCACTACAGATATCCACATCAGTGAAAGGGGGAAGTCAAAATGACCATTCTTCACCAGTGACTGTGCACTGGTAAGAGGGAAACAGTACAGAATGCTCAACAGAGTAACCTAAACTATCACAACATGCGTAATCGCAGTCCTGATTACAGCCTTGTCTGGAAGATTTTTACCAAACACCTTATGTTAAGATCTGCTTACTAATTATTTTTATTCTGAATATGTACTGATACAGACATCTAGGATATAATAAAAAACATCACAGGAAGACAATTTTCTTATCTGAGAAGTTAGTGTATAAAATCTGACTTACAGAAAATATTATTGCTATACAAAAAAACCAACTTATTCCACTGAACAAGTTTTGGAGTTCTTCTGTAGTAACTGAACAGAAAAACTTGCCAGTTTAAGTTAAATTGTACAATGACTGAGTTATATTAATGAACACAAGGTCAAGGCTCAGCAGTTATTTAAGTATTCTGCCATATATTTCCTTTGAGTACTTACTGGTACTCATTCACACATCACTGTCAAATGCCTCATGTATCTTGGATTTGTTTGATTCTGTATGTTAAGAGCTCATTTGTATAAAAATATTTTTGTTTTAAAAGTCTCCACACTTTCTAAGGCTTTTCATTTCTAAGGAAAATCTCTGGAGTAATTGATTACACAGATTCCTATTTCTTGCCAAAAAGAGACTCCATGCAAACAATGAGGTGCATTTTAACATTTCCATAAAGTCACACTTACTGAGGGGGAACAGTGAACATTTTCCCATTGACTTCAGCTTCAAAAGTTCCATTTCCTGAATGTCTAGAAATCAAAGCCAAGCCAGATGGGAGACCAAAATATTTTTTGGAAATCACCATTTCCAGTCTCCTCACTTCAGCACTCACGGGGTAGTTCTGTGCATGATGCAGCTCTTCTTCACAGACCAGCATGGAACAGTGCTATGGCATAAAAGCTGCTCTGAGCTAATTCAAGCCTACCACTCTTTTATACTGCTTAAAGTGCTAAAAAATTATAATGAAATGTTATCTCTGTGTGGAGCAAAACCACTTTATACCATTTTCACTCTCATTGATTCAACAGAATTCTCGGGAAAGGAGCACTATGTCAGTATGCTGCAGTAAGACCTCTTCCAGTATAATAAACTCTGGGGACAAAAAAAGTTCGAAAAATTAAAAAAAAAAAAAAAAAAAAAAAGAAGAAACATTGAAAAAAATAATCCACCAATTTATCAAAGCAGTGTGATTTTTAACAAACACTAGACACCCTTGTGAAAGAGTACTTCTTCATATATACCATGAGAAAATCTGCTTGAATAAATATTTTCAAATTGATTAAAGAATATGTTAAGTCCAGTTCATGAAAATGCCACTACTATAAAGCAGAAATTACAGACAAGATGAAGGTGTAATCCTTCCCATTTTGAGGAAAACAAGCATGGTGAAAAAGCCACTCTAACTCTGAAGTACGTTACGCATTTCATATCAGAATCTAAGATTTTTATGTTGCAGAATTAAACATGAAGGTGTGGGTATTCAGTCTCTGAAGAACAGTTGCTGAAGTTGCCACTCCAAAATGTAATCATAGCTTTTATCCCTTGTACTGCCATAATTCACCTCAATCTGTCCTATGCGTGTAAGAGGAAATTAGAAATTACTGCTCAGATAACAAGAAAACAGGTGCCACAGGAACACTGTAGATTAAAAAGAAAATGACAGAGGAAACTCAGATAGGGAATCTGGAAAGTACTGCCACACAGTGAATCTGTATGGAGCCAGGATGGATCAGCAAAAGGTCCAATGCTCATCTTGTCGAAAGCTGGTACTGAACAGCACTGCAGCACTCCTACCTGGAGTTATCTTAAAGAAATTGCTCTGAGTGAGCATCCTCCCTCCATGTGTGAAGGATTCACACTGCATCTGGTACACTTCATTCTTCACTTGCCTAAAGACCCTCAACACTGACACACATGTGAACAGACCTGGCTGGAAAAGGACATGAGTGAGGCTGGCACTCTCAAGGACAGAAAATGAGACTGTGCTTGGCCCAGAACAGGACATAGGAGAAAAGTCTGTTCTTACAGTTCCTACTCTAGAGGAAAGGGATGCCATCACAGGAACCCTGACAGGTTTGAGAGGTGGGCCTGGGCAAACCACATAAAACTAACAAGGCCAAGTACAAGGTCCTGCACCTGGGTCAGGGCAATCCCAAACATGGGTGTAGGCTTGGCAATGAGTGGATTGAG